AGGTTGCACTTGCCACACGGTGGCCCCGACCCCCTCCCCTGGTGTTTGTGTGGCCTGCAGAGAGAGCGCTCTACAGCATGGAGTGTGCCTTTCATCCCTTGTTCAGTCTCACCAGCGGGACCTGCCGGCTGGATTACCGCAGACCCGAGAACAGGTGGGTTTCACGGTGGCAGGTGTGTCGAAGCTGTCCTGCGACGGGAGATGGCAGAGGACTGTCCCCGAGGCGTCCCACCTGCCAGCTCACACTGGGGCACCTCACTGTGTACAACCTGAATGCAGGATGGCTGGGCTCACGGACGCACCGATTGGGCCAGCCTGGGGTTACTTCTGTCCTTGTTACAAGTGAGTCTGATAAGCGACTCCACTATGTTGGGGGCTGTAATTGTGTTTTCCTTGTATGTGTGGACAATAGGATCTGTGCCACATGAGTTTAGAATGCTCTGGAATGCTTTGCGGGCAGCCATACCTTCCAGTTCCTAAGCCAGTTAGCTGCTTGCACTTGGCTTGATCCTGTTCCCGGTGTTAAGCGGTCATGATTGGGTGCCAGTCTTCTCGCCAAGCCCCACTCTGGCACCAGCCCTCACTAATGGAGCCCGAACAGCCACAGTGGCTTCCCTGTTGACCTCCCCCCCTGGCTTCTTGCCCTCATGGGGCTGCGGGGGGTGGGGGGGTGGGAGGGTCCTCTGTTGTCCGGTGCCCTCTCCCTCACGGCCTCCAGCGTCTGTGGTCATCTCCAGCACTGGACGCCCTCCGCACCTTGGCAGTCAGCCTGGGCACGCTGATCCCGACTGCACAGATTGTCTGGTTTTGTTTGTGTTAGTCTTGTCTCTCCAGTTAAGTTCTTAGTTCCCAGAAACAGGTTATAAAATACTAACATCCACAGGCAGGGTGTTGGTTATTGATGCAAGTAACAGCCTACCAGGATGCTTCAAGTCCCAGAACTGGATGCATCCAGCAGCAGTGCCCCTAGCAACTGTTGAGGTTTGAGGGCAAATTAAGGTGGTAATTACAGTAGGAGATGTTGACCTCTCCTCTGAAGCGAACAGCAGGAAACAAAAAACACGATGGTTGCAACTCCCAGATAAGCTGGTTTTTCTCCACACGGACAGACACGTAACCGCAAACAACAAGCAGAGCGTCACCTTCTCTGCAGACACAGGAACACTTACGAACACTCGCGGTGATTAGGCCGCGCGGGAAATGGCCAGCGCGGCCAAGGAGCAGAGGGCAGCGGCGGTGCTGGACGAGGCTTCCGGGCAGTGCGGCTCTGGCGGCTGCCGCTCTGGCTCACGAGGAACTGTCTTGGATCTAGGAGCTTCTACCTGGCCCTCTACAAGCAGATGAGCTTCCTGGAGAAGCGCGGCTGTCCCCGCACGGCGCTGGAGTTCTGCAAGCTCATCCTGAGGTGGGTGCCTGCCTCTGGCGCCCGTGTGCTCGCGGCCTGGGCCCGTGGATGTCCACGCCGGCCCACTCTGCCCCTTGTCTCCCTTCGCCTTCCCCCCCCCCCCCCCCCCCCCCCCCCCCCCACTCCCTGGGCCGCCTCCGGAAGCCTGGAGCCGGACGAGGACCCTCTGTGCATGCTGCTGCTCATCGACCACCTGGCCTTGCGAGCGCGCAACTACGACTACCTGATCCGCCTCTTCCAGGAGTGGGAGGTAGGCGTGCGTGTGCGCCGTGACGCGGGGCCAGATCCCCCCCACCCCGCTTTTCTCCGTCCAGGGTCTGTGCGCCCCAGGGCGGTTCCGCGAAGCAGTGGGGAGGCTCTGGCCACACCCCGCGTGCTCCTCCCTTTTTGTCTCCACTGCTGCCCGTTTCCCCTGCAGACGGGCTCTGCCTCCAGCCTGACATCGAGGCTGAGACTGGACACGAGACCTTCATAGTGATTTCGTGCGGAAGTGATGCTATTTTAGGAATTTGGGTTAAATAGAACATTAGTAAACGTTAACTTCACCTGTTTTCTTTTTAATTTGGCTTCTAGAGAACGAGTGTTCCTGTTGGGCATTGCTGTCCTGGGGATGTGTGAACCTGACCACCTTTAGGGGGCGGGGGTGGCGGGCAGGGAACCGACAGCTTACCTTGTTGATCTCCGAGCTGGAATCTTTTGTCACCACGCGTTCGTGCGCGATTGAAAAATGACTACGTAGATCATTTGAATTGTGTCGCTTGGCTGCTTGGCCGAGGAGTCCCGCCTCTGGGGATCTAGTTTACAGAAGTTCCTGGAGCACCCCCATCCCCCCACAACAGGGCTGAGGTCCCATTTTGGCGGCGGAAATGGCACGCCACGTGTTGTCTGTTCCCTACCCATGTGGAGAAAGGCAAGGAAAGCGCTCGGCCACGAGAGTGGACGTGATCGGGTCCTGGCAGCAGGAGGGACACTCCTCGTTGCCGCCCCGACTCACTCAGTTTTCCGCTGTGACAGAGCACAGGCTGGCTGCTTTCAGAGCCGAGCCCGTCACGAGGGCGGGCATCTGGCTGTGACCCCACCTGACTCCGCTTCCCCCCAGGCCCCTCCTCTCATCCATCCCAGGCAGTTTTCTACCCTCCCAGGGCCATTTGCTTGTTTTCTGCCCCGAGGAAGCCCCCAGACGTAACACAAAATTCTCGTTCATGCCAAGTGACGAGATGCCAGCACGACACTTGTGTTCATCACGGGCGCATCCAGTGACTTTGGAGCAGCTGTGGGTCTTGAGTCTTTTGTCTTTGGCACAGTAGAGCTCCAGGTTTTGTGTTTCCGCCCCTTTCAGGCTCATCGAAACCTGTCTCAGCTCCCGAATTTTGCCTTCTCTGTGCCGTTGGCCTATTTTCTGCTGAGTCAGCAAGCAGACCTCCCTGAGCAGGAGCTGAGCTCTGCGAGGGAACAGGCCTCTCTCCTGATCCGACAGGCGCTCACCATGTTCCCTGGAGGTGGGTGCGGCGGGCCCCAGCGCGCACACTCCACTGACAGAAGGGCGTGTCTTCGGGGCTTTTGGACAAGGCGTAGGTAGTTACAGTTCAAAAGCAGAAAATGAGTCAGAAGCGACTTTGGCGTTCAGGTGTCCTGGGGCTTCAGGATAAGTTTCTGATATTGACTGAGAAAAACTTACTTTCTGAAGGTGTGGTATTTTCTTTTTTTTAAGTTTCTTTTTAAGAGAGAAAAAGAGACAGCACGAGCGGGGGAGGGGCAGAGAGAGAGGGAGACACAGAATCCAAAGCAGGCTCCAGGCTCTGAGCTGTCGGCACAGAGCCCGACGCGGGGCTCAAAACCCCCGCAAACCGTGAGATCATGACCTGAGCCGAAGGTGGACGCTTGACCGACTGAACCACCCAGGCGCCACCGTGTGGTATTTTCTAGAGACATAAGTGAGCTGCAGGATCTTAGCAGAACGTGCAGGAGGGGCCCCGGCTTTATGTTCTTGTCTTCAAATCCCATCTTTCACTGGGTTGAATAACTCGGAGACAGGGTTGTCCTGGGATTGCTCGGAGAACCTCCAGGCATCCTAGAGCAGTGGGCTGGCGTCTGTGTGGAGACAGAGCTGTGTGGTCTGTCAGGGTCCCGCTGGAGTGCAGTCCTCCTACCACGTGCATTTTCACAGAGGGCCGAGTCCCGGGGACGGGCCGTGGGGACTTATGCACGCTGTCCCCCCGGCCCCCAGCTGGAGGAGCAGCCCAGGCTCTTGAGGTGACCCCTTAACCTCAGTGAGCCTGCTGCGTCCCAGGCCGGGAGAGGAGGTGACCAGGGTCCCCGCTCCTGGGGCTCACATCCTTGGGCGGGGAGAGTGGCAGGTAGTACCAGGTGCTGGGGAAAACACAGAGAACACAAGCATGGTGAAGGTCTGAGGAGGCAGCCAGGGCAGGGCTGAGACCCATGTTACTCGGGGCGCCCACTGGACAGTGTTCTCAAGCTCTGCCTGTGTGTCCAGGCCCCGCCCCACTCCATCCGTGCTCACACGGGGCTGCCTGGCCAGGCCATAGGACAACCGACCCTTCCCCGTCAAGGTGCGTGAAGTTACGAGGCGAGGCCCTTGGTGGGCACTGGCTGTTTGTGTGGGATCGGGGCATGAGCCGCCTGTAAAGTCCCTCGGAAGACAGGGTTCTCCAGGTGACCTCCTGTGGGGAGGCCACTGCTGCTCAGGGAGAGAGACAGGCTCTGCCCCAGGCCTGAACCCTGCAGGCCGGCCTCCCCACCAGCCTGCGGAGGGAGACTGTGATGTCAGTGGTTAGAACGCCTTGTGCGTGTGCCTGGGGGGCACGGGTGCAACCCCTCAGTTGCAGACCGGGCCACGGGGAGGCAGCGGGACGCACGACCCCCTCCAAGGTGGCAGAGGCTGGTGTGGGTAGACTAGCCTCACCCTGGTGTCACCGTGCCCATGGGGGCCCTGCTTTCTCTGCAGCCCTCCTCCCTTTGCTCGAGTACTGCAGCGTGCGGCCAGATGCCGCTGTGGCCACTCACAGCTTTTTCGGACCGGACGCTGAGATAAGGTAAAGGCCGACGGGCCCTGGGAGGACAGTGCCCACCTGTGTGGGAGTCGTGGGGACGCTCCTGGGGGCAGACCCTGGGAGTCTGGCTGTCACTGCTCTCTCCCCGCTACTGGGAGGGGCCTGGCAGGTGCTCTCTGCTCGAGACCCCGGCGGCTGGACTGTTCTCCCACTTGGGTGGCCGGGTCTCGGGTCCAGGCGGGGCATCGCCTCAGGGGTCAGGCACAGAGCTGGCCGGTGCGTGAGCAGCCTGCAGCCTAGAGCACAAGCCTTCCTGGTGAGGAGTGAGCAGGGCACGGGGCCCACCGTGCCCGCAGCTGCTGGGTGGGGTTAGTATCATTACACTCGTTAGCGTGGCTCATGCATCTGCATGGCACGTACTACATTTTCCAAATTTCTCATTAGAAAACGACAGAAAAACGTGCAGTAAGGGAGCCAGCCACCCTCAGACCCTGTTTGTAAACCACAGCGGTTCTTGCGGCGTCTCTGTGCGTGCACGTGCATATTCTTTTTCTATTTTATGTTGCTGTTAAGAAACTCCTACTTTTTTATTTATTTATTTTTAAAATATATTTAAAAGTAAATATCTTGAGAGAGTGAGGGACACACAGAATCTGAAGCAGGCTCCAGGTTCTGAGCTGTCAGCACACCGAGTGTGACGTGGGGCTCGAACCCGCAAACTGTGAGATCACGACCTGAGCCGAAGTCGGACATTCAACCGACTGAGCCGCTCAGGCTCCCCAAAGAACTTGTGCTTCCTAAAACACACGTACCCTGGATAAAAGTAACCGCTGTGTGTGCCCCCGCCCCGCTCCGGGGGATTGCCTGCCCCGGTCGGCAGCCCCTCCGGGCGGTCTCCTGTCACCCCCGGCTGTTGGACGGGGCCGGACGCTGCCCATAGGCGCCGGCGGGTGCACCAGGCCTCGCCCTGGTGGATTCTGCTCACGGGCTCCGCTCTCCCGCAGCCAGCCCCCTGCCCTGAGCCAGCTGGTGAGCCTGTACCTCGGAAGGTCGCACTTCCTCTGGAAGGAGCCGGCCACCATGAGCTGGCTGGAGGAGAACGTCCGCGAGGTTCTGCGGGCGGTGGACTCCGGGGACCCTGCGGTGGAAGCATGTGAGAGCAGGTGGGCTCGGGGCCAGGGGTGACAGGGCGGCAGGTGGCCTCAGGATCCTCGTAGGACGAGGCCCACCTGCTCGGGCGCTGCCATCACAAACGGGGCAGCGGGGCCGGGGCGGGCTCCATTCCACGTGCTGCCGCTTTACTCCCGGCCCTAGGCGGAAGGTGCTGTACCAGCGTGCGCCCAGGAACATCCACCGCCACGTGGTCCTGTCTGAGGTCAAGGAAGCCGTTGCCGCCCTCCCCCCGGTAAGGCAGAGGGGCTGGGGGTGGGAGCTTTGTCACATGCCGGGCCCTTCCCCTCACAGCCAGGGATTTGAGAGGTGGAGCTGTGACCTCACAGGGCTCAGAGCAGTGACCCGGCCAGTCGGGGCCCTGGAGCCTGCGTCCCGTAGCGCTAAAGTGGGGCTCCTGACACAAGTGACCATATGATTCTGTCCCTTCCCTACAGCACACACACTTTTGCCCACGGGTGTCCTCCGTAGCCCTCTGAGCGGGCAGAGTGAGTGTCCCCGTGGAAGAAAGGCTCTCCCTGCCCTTTCACCCGGTGGCTTAGGACGGTACGCATAGCCTCACGGCCGGGGACCGTTTCTGTCTGACCGGTGGACTCTTAGCAGAGAGGCCGGTCCGGGCTGGAATTGGCTGAAAGCCTGCAGAGGGGAAGGCAGGGGCTCACGGCAGGTCTGCTTCCCTTTGAAGGATGTGACCACGCAGTCTGTGATGGGCTTTGACCCTCTGCCTCCTTTGGACACCATCTACTCCTACGTCAGGCCAGAGAGGTACCTCTCCGCCTCCTGCTTTGCTCCTTTGCTCGTACAGCTCTGAGGTCAGTGCTTTAGGGCTCACTGCCTCCCGCAGACACAGGCCTGCAGAGGACGGTGCGGTTTGGGGTCACGGGTCAGCTTTGCCAGGCGTGTGCTTTCACTCCTTTGTCGACAGCAGGAGCATTTTTGGGTCAGCTTCTAGAGCAGGTGTTGGAGGTAACAGTGGGAAGCAAGAGTAAGGCATTCCCTGTGTCCTCATGGAGCGTTCACAGGGCAGTGGGGAAACACGTTCGTTACGGAATCGAGGCTTAAATGTGGAGTCAAAACTGCAGTGAGAAACTTCTGGTGCACATGACTCTCCGAGAAGGCCGTGGTCATTGCTGTGTGAAGGAGCAATAGACCTTCGACAAGTAAAGGGGGAGGGAATATCGCTGGTACGTGAGAAGAGTCAGCGCGTGCAAAGGCCCTGTGCAAGGAGCATGGCACAGGGCACGTTCCAAGAAGTACAGAAGACCCACACAGCCAAGCCAGGAGGGCCACAGTGAGAGCACAGCGGAGCCCGAGTCTGCAGTGGATTTGTGGACAGTGGTTAGCCTTGAATCGTGGACTAGCTTCTTTTTTCTCTCCTCTAGTCTTTAAAGCTGAGCGATTGAATTACCAAGAGCCTTTAGCACAGTCTTGTAGATCTGGAAGTCACAGACAGATTTGCCCGTTTCGGGAAAGCGTGTGGTTTCCAGATCTCAGTAGAGCACATTATGTAGGATGAAGGATCTTTTTTTTTTTTTTAATGTTTAATTTTGAGAGAGGGAGAGAGAGAGAGAGAGAGAGAGAGAGAGCAAGCAGGGGAGGGGCAGAGAGAGAGGGAGACACAGAGTCCAAAGCAGGCTCCAGGCTCTGAGCCGTCAGCAAAGAGCCCGACGTGGGGCTCGAACTCACGGACTGTGAGATCATGACCTGAGCCGAAGTCAGACGCTGAACCGACTGAGCCACCCAGGTGCCCCGAAGGACTTTTTCTTAACTGAATTGTGCTGTAACAGTTAGACTATGTGCTTCTAGGGAAGTAGTTCCCAGTTGAATTTATAAGTAGAGTAAGATGACAGTCAGGAATTTGCGACCCTGGAAGGTTCAGAAAGAAAGCGGACTGGCTGGACATTGTCGCCCTGACCTGAGGAGTGGCCGAAGGGCTCTGCCCAGCAGAGGCTGCCGGTCCTTAAAAGTCCAGCTGGAGCTGCTTACAGCGTGGCGTCTTCTCAGGGGGGCACTCTCCAGCACACCCTGGAATCTTCCCTTGATGTGACCCCTTTGCACCCCTGCACAGCTCTCCTCAAGAGTGACCCTCTTCCCTGCTCGGCTCAACCAGCCGGGTCCCGAAGGGCCCACCGCCTCTGGACGCCATTCCCCGGGAGGCCTAAGCAGCCCTCACCGGTACCTCTGGGCGCCCACTGCCCACCCAGAGCTGAGCAGGAGTCTTGGTGGTCCAACCCCGTGTCCCAGCTGGGGCTCGGGCTGCCTTCCTGTCCCTCCCCTCCCTCGAGGGCACTTTCTGACCTTCCTTCCTCCTCTTCCAGGCTGAGTCCTGTCAGCCACGGAAACACAATTGCCCTCTTCTTCCGGTCGTTGTTGCCCAACTACACCATGGAGGTACGTGGGCACGTGTCGGCCGGGTGGGTTCAGGCAGGGCCACTGGTTGTGCACGGGTAGAGAGCCTTGCTGGAGCCCGCGGCCGGCCTGCTCGGGAGGCTGGGACATGCCCGCCTGACGATAACCACCACCTCGGCCCCTCCACCGGACGCGGCTCCCTTACCCGGTGCTGGGGCCTGGTCTTGTTAGACACGCGCGTTTGGGTCTGGGGGCTTCCTCTTCTCGACAGGGTCCTGGGCAGGCCGGGTTGGGAGCACTGGGCCTCAGCCCAGGACAACCCCTGCTCAGACGAGTCTCCTTGCCGCAGGGGGAGAGGCTGGAGGCTGGAGGGGCTGGGGGTCTGAACCACAACCAAGGCTTGAACAGGCTGATGCTGGCCGTGCGAGACATGATGGCCAACTTTCACTTCCACGACGTGGAGGCGGCTCGTGAGGACAACCCCGAGGGGGACGGGGAGTGGGACTAAGCCCGCGTAGATGCCGCACCCCAACGCTGTATAATTATGTTCCCGATTGCTGTTCTGGTCGGAATTGGCCGGTTCCCTGGAGTAGAAATGCTGATGTGTTGTCCGCCTTCCTCCTTTGTGTCTCCTATAAATGTGAGTGGGTTACGCTGTGTGTGGCCTGGGCTCTTCTTTTCCGGGGCTGGGGTCAGTGCCCAGTGTGAGGCAGGTGGGTCCCGGATCCGCACAGCCCCCGAGGTTTCCCAGGAGAGAACATGACCCACGGTCACACACAGCCACGCCCAGGCTCCGTGTGAGCTCTCTCCGTTGCCACCCTGCCCCTCCACGATTTGGGGCACAGAGCAGAGACGAGGTCCCACAGGCTTCAGTGCAGCGTCCCTGCTGAGAATGCCCCGGTGTTTGACCCGACCCCCCCCCCCCC